TCCCCAAGTGTCCCCAAGTGTCCCCACCTTGGCCTTGGCGGTGCCGGGCGGGAGCCGGTCCAGGGCCACGGTGAGAGGGAAAATGACCTCGTCCTGGGAGATGATGGGATCATCCACGGGGAGCTGGAAATGGAGGAAAAAAACTGAAAAAATGTGAAAAATGGGGAAAAATGGGAAAAAATGGGGAAAAATGGGAAAAATCAGTGGGAAAATGGGGAAAAAATGGGGAAATGACCTCGTCCTGGGAGATGATGGGATCATCCACGGGGAGCTGGAAATGGGGGAAAAAACTGAAAAAATGGGAAAAATGGGGAAAAACGGGGAAAAATGGGGAAAATGGGGAAAAATGGGGAAAAAATGGGGAAAAAATGGGGAAATGACCTCGTCCTGGGAGATGATGGGATCGTCCACGGGGAGCTGGAAATGGGGGAAAAACTGAAAAAATGGGAAAAATGGGGAAAAAAATGGGGGAAAATGGGAGAAAATGGGGGAAAATGGGAAAACCCAAAGAATAATGGGGGAAAACAAGGAAAAAATGGGAAAAACCCAAGGAAAAATGGGAAAAGCCAAGGAAAAGTGGGAAAAACTCAATGAAAAATGGGAAAACCCATGGAAAAATGGGAAAAGCCAAGGAAAAATAGGAAAAGCCAAGGAAAAATGGGAAAGCCCAAGAAAAATGGGAAAACCCGACGAAAAATGGGAAAACCCAATAAAAATTGGGAAAAACCCAAGGAAAAATGGGAAAAGCCAAGGAAAAATAGGGGGAAAATGGGAAATTCCCAAGAAAAATGGGAAACTGAAGGCAAAATGGAAAAACCCAAGGAAAAATGGGGGGAAAATGGGGAAAATCCAATGAAAAATGGGGAAAAAATGGGAAAGCCCAAGGAAAAATGGGAAAAACCCAAGAGAAAAATGGGAAAAATTGGGGGGAAAAATGGGAAAACTAGGAGGGGAAATAGGAGGGGAAAATGGGGAAAAATGGGAAAAATTGGGGGGAAAAATGGGAAAACTAGGAGGGGAAATAGGAGGGGAAAATGGGGAAAAATGGGAAAAATTGGGGGGAAAAATGGGAAAACTAGGAGGGGAAATAGGAGGGGAAAATGGGGAAAGAATGGGAAAAAATTGGGTAAAATATTAGGGAAAATAGGAGGGAAAACGGGGAATAATGGAGGAAAAAAATAGGGAGAAAAGGGAAAAAATAGGAGGGAAAATGGAGAAAAAACTTGGGAAAAATGGGAAAATAGGAAGGAAAATACAGGGAAAAGATCTGGGAATTGAGAGGTTAAATCCCGAAGGAATTTCGGGAATATTGGGGGTTAAATCCTGGCTGAATTTCAGGAATTTTTGGGAATTTTGGAGGGATTCAATCCCAGGAATTTTCGGCCTTAAATGCCAAGGAAATTTTGGGAATTTTTGGGAATTTTTGGGGGGTTAAATCCAGAGGGATTCCGGGAATTTTGGGGGATTAAATCCTGGTGGAATTCCAGGAATATCGACGGGATTGGGGATGTAAATCCCGGGAGAAATTCGGGAATTTTTGGGAATTTGGGGGGGATAATGGGAGTTAAATCCCAGAAAAATTCTGGGAATTTTTGAGAAATTTTGGGGTTAAATCGCAAAAAAATTCTGGGAATTTTGGAGAAATATTGGGGGAATTTTGGGGTTAAATCCCAGAAATTTCTGGGAATTTTGGGGAAATTTTGGGGTTAAATCTCGGGAAAATTCTGGGAATTTTGGTGAAATATTGGGGGAATTTTGGGAGTTAAATCCCAGAAATTTCTGGGAATTTTGGGGGTTAAATCCAGGGAATATTGGGGAAATTTTGGGGTTAAATCTCAGGAAAATTCTGGGAATTTTGGAGAAATATTGGGGAAGTTTTGGGGTTAAATCCCAGAAAAAAAATCCGGGAATTTTTGGGAATTTTGGATTAATATTGGGGGAATTTTGGGGTTAAACCCCAGAAAAATTCCGTGAATTTTTGGGAATTTTGGATGAATATTGGGGGAATTTTGGGGTTAAATCCCAGAAATTTCTGGGAATTTTGGGGGTTAAATCCAGGAAATATTGGGGAAATTTTGGGGTTAAATATCAGGAAAATTCTGGGAATTTTTGAGAAATATTGGGGGAATTTTGGGGTTAAATCCCAGAAAAATTCCGTGATTTTTCGGGAATTTTGGATGAATATTGGGGAAATTTTGGGGTTAAATCCCGAGAAAATTCCGGGAATTTTGAGGCAATCCCGGGGGGAAGAACGAGAGAAAATCCCGCGGATTTTGGGGCCTTGAATCCCGAGGAGACCCCGGGAATATTCGGGAATTCTGGGGGGATGAAGGGATTTAAACGCCGGCAGAATCCCGGGAACAGCGGGCGGATAACGGGGGGGTCTGGGGGGGAATCCTCGGTTACCGGGGGGGGTCTCGGGCCTGGTCCGGGGTTACCGGGGGGTCCTGGGGGGGTCCCGGGGGGGATGCTCGGAGGGGGTCCCGGCTCCGGTGCGGGGTTACCGGGAGGGTCCCGGAGTTACAGCGGGATCCTGGGGGGTGGTCCCGGCTCCGGTCCGGGGTTACCGGGGGGATCCCGGGGGGTCCCGGCTCCGGTCCGGGCCCGTTCAGCGCTTCCGGGTGCGGCCTGGCGAATGCGTACGGCGGCGCCGGCACGCATGGCGGCGTCCATGGCTACTTTGCGCATGCGCAACAGGAAAGGATAAGTACGGAAGTGCCGGTAAACATGGCGGCGCCCATGCGTGTATGGCGCATGCGCAATAGGGACAATAAAGAACGGAAGTTCTGCCATCTATGGTGGCGTCTGCGTCTTCACTGCACATGCGCGAAGACAAACCGTGGAAAGGTTCATTTTGGATGTTCCCAAGTCCCGAAAATTTGGGAGTTGGACGCCTAAAATTTCGTTCTGAAGGGGTTGAGCCACCCCAGAATCCCTCTGAGAACCCAAAATCTCCATCTGAAAGCCCAAAAGAGGGTTTTAATGCCCTAAAAAAGGGTCAGTGACGCCCCCACTGAACCCCGAGATCTGGTCCTGGACCCCCCAAATCGCTCAAAGTCCATCAAATTCGGGATCTGGGCCCCTCTGGAATGCCCCAAAATCGAAACACTCAAGACCCCGCAAATTTGTGTTCGTCATCTACACTTGACGCTTTAAAGAGAGGATGTGGGAGGGATTTTGGGGGGTTCAGATCGCTCCCGAGACAAAATTCGGGTGAATTTGGGGAATTTCTGTGGGATTCGGGGGGATTTAAAACTTTAATCGCATTAATAAAAAGCCGACCAATCACAGCTCGCCGCGCCAGCGGGAGGCGGAGCTTTACGCCCACTCAACCAATCGCGTTGCGCAAGAAACCGCTGACCAATCGCAGCCAGACGCACCTTTTGATTGACAGGCAACTTCGCAATTCTCACCAATAGCCTTAGAGGGCGGGTTTAGAGGGGCGGGGTTTTCTGGCGCCTCAGCCAATCACAGCGCGCGAGGGGCGTTTCCCGCCGTTTTCCCCTCAGCGCGGGAGCCGCCATGGAGCCGCTCCGGCCTTGGCTCGTCCCGTTCCTGCTGCCCGAACGCTGCTTCGACCAATTCTTCCTGCGCTTCCAGCTCCTCGACGGTGCCGGAGGGGCCGCGGGGGGCGGTTCCGGGGCTTTTTGGGCCTTTTCGGGGGGTTTTGAGCCGGATTTTGGGGCGCCTTTAAGGGCTGTGTGGGCGGCCGCCATTTTGGTTACGGGCGGGAGTTGTGACAGGGCGCCGCCATTTTGGTTACGGGCGCGGGAGAAGGAGCGCCGCCATTTTTAGTTTGGCTGTGAGGCGATGCCGCCGCCATCTTTGTTTTGGGTGTGGGGGATCCAAATTTTGAGGCATTTTAAGGGATTTTGAGGGAATTTTTAGGAGATTTTGAGGAAATCTGGGGAATTTTGGCGTCACTTCACCTCACCTTTCTCCTTTCTCCGCAGTTCCGTGCTTGAAAATCCTCCTGAGCAAAGTTCTGGGCTACGGGATCGTGGCGGGATCCGTCCTGGGTGAGATTTTGGGGGGATCTGAGGGGATTTTGGGGCTCCAGGGAGGGTTTTGTGGCCTCAGATTATTTTAGGATTAATTTGGGCAGATTTTGGGTTGGTTTGCAAGAAATTTGGGGATTTTTGGGGGGGATTTTACCCCATTTCCCCCCCAGTGAAGCGGGAGCCGCTGAAGGTTTGGGGGTCCCTGGGGGGGCATTTTTTGGTAATGTTGGGGTATTTTGATGTAATTTTTTTGTAATTTTGAGGTATTTTGATGTATTTTTAAGCCATTTTGGGCTATTTTAGGGCTGTTTTGGGGTGGATTTTTGGTTTTTTTTGGCATTTCACCCCATTTCCCCCCTCAGTGAAGGTTCCCCAGCTGCTGAAGGTTTGGGGGTCCCTGGGGGGACCTTTAGAGGTAATTTTAGGGTATTTTGATGTATTTTTAAGCCATTTTGGGGTGGTTTGGGGGTATTTTGGGGTGGATTTTGGGGTTTTTTTGGGATTTCACCCTATATCCTCCCCAGTGAAGGTTCCTCAGCTGCTGAAGGTTTGGGGGTCCCTGGGGGGGCATTTTTGGATAATTTTGGGGTATTTTGATGTATTTTTTTGTCATTTGGGGATATTTTGATGTATTTTTAAGTGGTTTTGGGGTGGATTTTTGGGTTTTTTTTGGGATTTCACCCCGTTTCCCCCCCAGTGAAGGTTCCCCAGCTGCTGAAGGTTTGGGGGTCCCGCAGTGGGGGGGGGCTCAGCCTCCCCTCGGTGCTGCTGGAGCTGCTGGCCCTGGGGGGGTCGGTGGGCTACGGCTGCGCCAGGAGCTTCCCCTTCAGGTGAGGGGGGGGTTCGGGGGTTTTTTGGGGGGTTTGGGAAATTTGG